ATTACTTACATTCTCGCCATCGCATTCCACACTTTGTCCTCTATCAATGCAATCGTCATTCGACAAAGCTTTGTCACATTTCCAACATCTAACAGCTGTAAGACGGAAATAGAAAATAAACTTATTATAATTTACCCTTTACTGTGGCCTTATCTATCTACTTACCCTTATCTATCTGAACATTTCAAATCTTTCACAGTTTTTTGCAAGTTTCATCTGATAAATAAATAAAATCATTGTTTGAAACAATTCAACACAAATCAGTATGCATAAAAGAAACATTATAATAAAGTACGATTTGGTTCAAATTTGTCGTTTAAATCCTATTCATCGAGCAAGCCAAAGGCAACAATTGCAATCCAATAAATATAATCGAATCGGTTCCAAAGACAAATCTATAGTGAAGTGATAAACCAATCTTTGAGCTTGCGATAATTTGTCCTAGGAGAATGACTGTTTAATAATAATCTAAGCTCAAGATTGAATTGATTTTGGATTTGCTTCCATAAAACCATCATTAGTTATACAGAACGTAACTTCTGTAATAATTTTCATCAGTGACTTCTTACAGATAAATGGATTTGGTATTGTGTATCAGCGGATAACCCAATTACAAGTTGAGAAAAAAGAGTATTTTCTTTATCGAAAATATGTGTTTTTACCCGATCTTTTTTCTCATTTATAAATTGAGAAGCAGAATAACTAATTGCGCGATGATTGTAATGTCATGTCAGACTTCGTCGTATTATATCACCGCAAGACATAAACAATATATATTTTACTTTCATGCCATTAAGCTCTACACTTCAAATTATTCTTCCCATCTGTTAATAATCATATTTCCTGCAAATTATCTAGAAGATATGAAATAATACTGTTCAGACTACAAACAGGCCACTGTCGTTTGAACTATTATTATCTTCATAAGATCGGATTCCACGATAATGGACTTTGTGACACTTGCTTGGAAAACGGAACCGTCGAACATTCAAAATCACATTGTCCCCGCCATGACTTCCCAAGATCATTTTCAATTAATCATTGTAAAGAACTGAATAAATGCCTCGTTAATCTTATTAACTTACTAACAAATCTCAGAATTCAATCTTTTGTTATAGAATACGTCCTCATAACGGGTCGAAGCATTTGAACACCTAACGCGTAATATCATAGTCCTGGTGCACTAAACTAAGCCAGTTAGAAGCACCAATAAAATAATAATAATCTAATCAAATTGTCAATAATTCTGTATCCTTGAGTTTGATATGCTGTTCCTATGCGACAAATTATGGATGACTTTGGTTCATGGAATAGAGATTGAATTTTATGTTAAAACTTCAATAATCGACTCAAAGCCAGTGCTGGATATGGTACAGTACAATTGTCAGAGCGGCATGTAATCTTTAACCTTGATGAACAGACCATATCATGCTGCATGGTCGCACATTAGATAAATTAATGCTCTCAACATGTAGTAGAACAGCAATACCTCAACAACATAATAATAATTCATAGCGAAATTTTATGTAACTAAGTACACCCAAAGATGAATCAAATTCCTCCTGAGTGTATCATCTCCAGGGACCCGCACAGTATAATATTTTGAAACCTAGTTATTGACTAACATAATAGTTTTTAATCAACTTGGCAACTATTTATAAATCATTGACAAAGGAGTGAAGTACATCACATTCGTGTATGGGAAAAATAAAATAGCTTGACAGACTTTGTGTATGTATATTATTGCTTTAGCGCAAGGTATTTATGCAATTTCGCTGACATGATTTGTAAAACTGAATGTGACGAAACTGACGATCAAGTTGGAACCACTCTTACGCCAATGGACTATTTTTGTATAAAAAGTGTGGCAAGTTCACTTGTTTTTTGAACAGAACCGAGTCCATACAGTTTCCGATTCCAAAATTTGCCCGCATGTTAACAGTAATTTGAATTTTTTGGTATGTCATCTTTGACGTAGCATAATAAAGTGTTAAATGAACTCGAATCTAGTTTAACAAGGTTCTTGATCCAAGACGAAATGGTGCAAAATAAGGAGTTGACGATCACATCAATAGACGAATAAGAAGAACAATAATGTTTCGTTTTCAGACAGATGATCATGATCAATTATAGATGATGACATAATTTAGAATACGAACTCCTTCTTTTACTCAACAAAATTGAATAAATGCAGCATGCTGATATTATAAGCATTTGACGCCAAACTAGCCAGATTGCTTTTAGGATAATTGCGGCAAGGACGAGTTCCATTGTTCCCAGTAAAATAAACCGTGAAAACCGTTGAGTTTAATGTCTTTTTGTTTCGTATTTAAATAAACCACAATCGTTAATTTCTTGCCAAGCCTGGAATAATCTTATTTCAGCAAATTGTACTTGATGAATAATAGATGTTTAATTGTTCCCAGGAAAGGAAACCTTAAAACCGTTACATCGAGCCTGGGATATTTGCGATATTACTTTTTTATGCGTACGAGTGCAATGTCTTTTTGTTTCGTATTCAACTGAACGATACTCGTTAAATTCCTGCCAAGCCTGAAATAATCCGATTGCAGCCATTGGTAATTGTTGATTAATAGATGTTAAATGTAAACAATGTACTTGAATTGTCATCAACTTAAAATACCATAACTTGAAATGGTACTCCCGTTGTATGTGCAACAAGATGGCGGACACCGGAACGTAGTATGTGTTTAAGGTTAGGCCATAATTTCAGGTACAAATACTACGGGAGTCACTTGGCTAGTCTCCGAACTTGTAATAGAAATAGAGTGAAGAAAATTAGCCGTAGGTGGAGAGGATTAAATTAAATTGGATATGATTTAAAGGCTTTTTCAATGAATGTAATATTTTGTGTCTGTTTCAGTCAGAAAGTTATAATATAAAATGAACACGCCATCAGCATTCGGCTTATTTTACCCATCAAATCTTGACACACAAAAAGAGTTTGTGTTGGGACGAATGCTATACTAAACTTACTTCACGAAGAATTGCTTTTTAGTCATTTAAATTGATCTGATGCGGTTTTATTCTACTTTCACCGGAGGCAATAAAACGTTTATTCCGTGACGTAATCGCGATGGTGGGCGTGAATGACTGGGAATTTCTCAATTTGTACAAAGTGGACTGTTATTTTCTCACTTGGTACGAAGAAATTAAAGGACTCAATCTTATAGCATAGAATGAACGGCAAAACACGATTATTTGTAACGATATCTAATATGTAATTATGAATCTCTAAATAACGAATTACAGAGTCGCAATTTATAGCTCTTCAATCCACATACAGGAACATAGGAGACATATTATGATAAAGTGTCAGTAATATAGAAGGTATTGAAAAAAAATTGCAATTTCTTTAAGACCATTATTCTTGATACACTTTAGATAAATTCTTAAATTTCATCATTGCGATTTAGTCAGTCTTCATAAATCTTGCTGAAGTTCTGCCCGATGTTCACTTAGTAAAGTCAGCTGACATGAAGAAAATCAAAATACTATTAACATGCGCGTCAATTTCGTGAATCGGAAACTGTATGGCTCGATTCTGATCCGAAAACAAATGAATAGCCCCACTTTTATACAAAAAAAAATTAAAATACTTTGGCGTAAGAATGGTTCCAACTTAAATCGTCCCATTCAGTTTTACAAATCATGTCAGTAAAATTTCAAATTAAAATCAATTGCGCTAAAGCGAAAATATACATATACAAAGGCTATCAAGTTATTTTTATATGTCCCATACACGAATGTGAGGTACTTTACTTTTTTTTCTTTTATTTATAAATAGTTGCTAGGTCGATGAAAATATTATGTTGCGTTCAAATAACTAACTTTTCAAAAATATGCATTATACTGTGCGGTCCCTGGAGGTGATACACCCGAGAAAATTTGATCATCTTTTGGTGTACTTGATCTATTGTTGTTCTACTACATGTTAGATCATTAATTGTCTTATTTTATCTAATGTATACCATGCACCGCTGTTGACTTGATTATCAAGATTAAAGATTACATTCTGACAACTGTGCTGCTGTACTGTCGTTCTGACAATTGTACTGCACGGGGGCAACGATAGATGATATGAGATGATAGAGCCAAAATAGTTGTCAGAAAGTTAATAAAATCATTAAATGATCACTATGGATCGTGATTGAAAAATGTTATTCGGCACTGGCTCTTGAATCGGTTATAACAGTTTTAGGATAAAATGGAATCTCTATTTTATGGACAAAATCACCCATAATTTTCCCCATAAAAACAGAATATTAAATGTTGAGATTCATATAAAAATTTATACCAAATAGAGCAAGATTTTAAATTGATACAGGATTATTGTCAATTTGACTAGATCGCATAAAAGGGAAATATTAACGGTGATATGATACGACGAAGTCTGACTTCGCATTTGATTCATCACGCAATTAGTTATTGTGCTTCTCTGGTTATAAAAAATCGGTTAAAAGACTCGTTCTACATGATTCTCAAATTTTACCAATAAACCATCAACGTTGATCGGTAAATGGTCTCAAAACGACTTAAATTGAAATGAGTTATATTTTAACCACAGTCTTTCAATGAAGAAGATATTCTTTTTCACAACTTGCAAAACAGGTCCAATTTTAACTTTGAGGTGAATCTACCTAATATTTAAAATCAATAGAGACATGTCAATATGTCAAGCATAATACACCAATAAAATAGGAATGCATTTACTTTTCATGCATAATTTTGGAGTAATATTTTAATCTAGACATCATGTTTAGGAGAAAGATTGATTTGAAAAATAAGTTATTTGATAAAAATGACACAATGTGGCTGGTTTTCTTTTTCTGATCTTCTTTTAGGCAGCGATTACCTCATCTTGTTTTTCTACTTCTCTCCCCACAAAATCACAGTTTCTTTTTTCTTATCAATTGATTGAATTTTTTTTTTTTTATATGATAGAATTATCTCCTTACTCGTATAAAATAGTGGTGCACATACTGTACTGCACATATTGACTTTTCAGCAAGCTGAAACTATCTTCTGTTTACTTCAGAGTATCTACTCAACAGTGTAAACTGATAAAATGTTGAAATTCACATTGACGTTATTTGTGCTTGTTTCTTGTAGTGTCGACATTTCAAAAGGTGAGATATTATTACTTTAATACTTCCTACAAACATGCCGTGTCGTGTTTATACGCCTCAGTTTTGTGACTGGTTTTTGGACGAGAACCGAATACTGACCCACATGTATAATAATTCTGTTATCCGCTGATACACAATACCAAATCCATTTTTCTGTAAGAAGTCACTGATGTAAATTATTACGGAAGTTACATTATGTATAAATAAAGATGTCTTAGGAAAGCAAATCCAAAATTAATTCTAGATATTCATGCAATAGGGGATATTGTTAATAATATGACACGTAAGCGGATTGCTCTTCATCTTGAGATTAGATTATTACTAGACAGTGATTAGTTTGTAATTCTCCTAGAACATAAATATCTCAAGCTCAAGGATTGGTTTATCAATTTACCATAGATTTGTCTTTGGAACCGATTTGATTATATTTATTGGATTGTAATTGTGATTTTTTTATCAGATGAAACTTGCAAAAAAACGGTGAAGAATTAAAATGTTCAGATAGATCACAGTAAATCATAATAAGTTTCCTTTCTATTTCCGTCTTGCAGCTTTCGATGTTGGAAATGTGACAACGCTTTGACGTTTGAAGATTGCACCAACAAAGGACAAAGTGTAGAATGCGATGGCGAGAATGTGAGTGTTTTTATCAAAGTATATATTTTAAAGTTTTTGAATAATTCCATTGTTCTCACAATATATTTTTTTCGCTGTCCATTCGAATAAACCGGGGCCGTGATTGTTCATTTTGATTATATATGCTATATGCCAAAACATTATCACAGTATTTGACGCAAATTATTTGGTTGTTGTTGGCGCAAATAATACTTGAAAAAAGAGGCAACAGATATATCAAGATAAAGTCGTTGAGATTTATTTCATAATACAACCTTTTTTGTATCAATTAAGTATATTGATCTTGAGAACTAACAGAAAAAATATTTCCAATCTCTGTTTCACGTCTATTATGAGGTTGTTAATGTTTATTTTTATGATACAAACTTTTTTGTATCAATTAAGTATGTTAATCTTGAAAATTAACAGAAAAAATATTTCCAACCTCTGTTTCACTTTTATTTCAACATCTTTGGTCGACAAACTGTTTGTACTGTTGTACTAAGTATACTCGTTTTCAGTAGCGCGCGGGCCGCATTAATTCCCGCCTATAAATAAACAATTACCACATTTCAAACTTCCCGACTCACCAGAAACTCCTATTCTCCTATTGTGTTCAACGCCGTTCTGAATGAGACGTGTATTCAGCCGTTTTCATTTATTATCACAAATATATATTGTTTTTATTTACTTTCCATCAATGTGAAGGATGATGTTAATTCATTGTTATGGGCTTGATGACCAAAGCTTTAGAATTAACTGACAAGTTGGTTGGTTATATCACTCAAATAGATTTTCAATAATGCTCAAAAAAATATTTTCGAAAAAATTTGTTTGCGGGTTGCATAAGACTGACGGTCCACAGTTTGACGGACCCTACTTTACATTGATTTGTATATGACGCGGTTTTATTCAAAATATCTACAAAATAACATTTCAAATAAACATTTGCGATATGACATTTCGGCCTAAACGCACGAGTGTTGCAAAGAGGTATACCATTCAGTTTCATTAGAATATATCAGACAAATTTTACTCGTTTCACCACGATGGACCACTATGTTTTGTGAACGCTTCGAAACGTATATTTATTTTTAGTCATTGCCTCCATATATAGAATATTCGTTTAGATAATTATAAGCCTGTTGCCTTGGAGTACTCGTAAAATTCGTGTTCTTTAAAAGGGCGGGTGCTTCACCGAAATCAGATTTAACGTGGGTTTAATTCCACCAATCAGACTCACAACAAGATGCAAACAAGGCAATGAATGCAGCAAAAACGAATATCGGGTAAGATGTTTTTCATGACATTGAATACAATTTTCGTGTTAGCAAAATGTTCCAGGTTTAACAAAATAACACGTTTATTCTCTCAACGCATTTCACAGATTACCTATTTCATAATTAGTTTTAATTTTGTTTAGTTCATTACATTATGCATTTAATTTCAATTTGAATAAAATAAAGTCAAACTCGACCTCTTTTTCATGAGTTTTGTTATGATAATTAATATCTAGTAGCTACGCTTTATTTTATTGCATATCAGGCAATGTATCAGCACAATGCCATTGAATTATGAAACCTAATCCTTGCAAAATTTCGACAAGCTATGAACACCAGAATTGATGATCTCAAAAACCTTACAGTTGACATCAGCCTTAATAATTGAGATCGAGACCGAGGTGCTACCAACTCTATTTGTCCTGATGCTTGGGATACAACTCAATTAAATATTCAAAATTATTATTGTGATAACTGAGTAATATAATATGCGAGTATCCATACAAACCTGAATATTTAACGACCATTCGTCCGTTCTTTTCATAAATCCGATTGGCTTGCAAACGCACACAACTACTTTTTACATCAATTCTGCCACCCATGGTCGGCCTTTTGTGATATATTTCTTGTTCTTACTCTTTTCAATATGTTTAAGAAAACGGACCACTAGGGTGTTTTGTCTCATTTTTTTCTTTAACAGCAGTGTTTTCCGCTCAGTATAAATAATAAAATATATGTGCTTTTAAATATCCATCATACAATCAAACTAGAAAGGAGTAGTTCTAAAAAAATTGATTTTTAACAGAATGTAAAAGAATGCAAGTCTAGAAACCCGATCTGCAGATGTTGCTGCGTGGGAGAAGATTGTAATAAACCGGAATTGTGATGTTTTCCAAGTAAGTTTTCAAGCTTAATTCTTGTCCGTGTACTTCACCACTGAGACGATATTTCTGTAATTCCTGGTTAAATTATACACTCGCAGAACTGTAAAGTAAATTTAATCGATTTGAGAACAATCGAATACAAGTATTTTCATGTATTTAACAGAATAGTGATTTATAACTTTATTTATTCATGTAATTATCTTCTAGTTCAGCATACCCGGATTGTCGACCATTGAAATTTCGAAAAAATATGAATATATTTTAAACCCCTTTTTAGGTTTGAACAAAAGATCAACCAGGCAAAAGAAACTATTTAAAGGAACCGGAATCTCTACTGTTTCGATATGGATCAAATAAATTTATATCTTCCAAAAATAAAAATTGAGTATAATAACTAATATTCGAGTGATTTCAATTGATACAAACGATTTGCTTCTTTTCCTGGAATGCGCTCAGCCAGCCCTTTCAAGGTGCCATAGTCGCTACGTATATACAATAATCCATAACACATACATAAAAGCGAGCTACAGGTTGAGAATTCGTTAAGCAATGTATTGTTTATGTTGCCTATGCTTTATGTCAAAAAATAAATGGGTCGTTTGCAAAAATACGCCGGTCAGGACAGACGGTTCTTGCCGTGTTGAAAGAGCTTGGGAATTCTATAGCAGAAACTTTAATTGCAAAAGCAGGAAAGTTTTCATCATATTGCTTAGCGCTTGAAAAAAGTACTGACATCAAGTTTACTGCTAATCATGCGGGGAGTTAACGATAATTTGGAAATTAATGAAGAGCCGCTATCGTCCCAATTAAGGGCATGACTACAGGCATTATTTGTGGGGAGCTGCGATGAAAATGATCAAGCGTCTTGGCTTGTTTTTGGCACAACTTTCGGGAATAACGATGATGGGGACATTCAATGGTTGGGAAACAAAAGTTTTATTGTTCTAATAATTGTGTGAAAGTTTGGCGTGAGGGAATTGTTTGTTTTTTCATTAACTCGTAGTCATTGTAGCAATACTAAAACACTACCATGTTAAGTGGCCCGCGCACTTGAAAGTAAATTAAATGTGGCCCTTTGGTCAAATTAGTTGGACGACCCTGATGTAGACCCTCGATGCCAGCAGCAGGCCAGATAGTCACGGGGAAAAAAGCTTAATAGCAAGCAGAGACCTGACGCAAGCAGAAAATGTATCAATACCAGCAGTTGGTCAAGAAAAAAAGCTGTAGTGAAATAGTTTACGTAGAAATAATTAAAATGTTGAAGTAAACAAAATGAGAAAAAGTAGGCAATCACACACAGTCCGTAGAAATAAACTCGCAGCAGTTCAAGTAATATAATAATAAAATAATAAAAATAATGTTAAAGATGCTTGAGTTGAAATACAAATCCATGATCCAGCCCGCAAGCAGTTCAGAGATGTATAGGTAAAAAATAATGAAAAGATGAGGATACAAAAGCAGGGACCCCAAATTAGGATTATACAGAAGCAGCGGCCGTGCCCACCCCAACCAGCCAGCCAGTCATAATTAAAGATGTACTTTAATTAGATGTACATAAAAAAGATATCCCTGAATATCAAGCCAGTAATCATACAAAGTTACTGCTAGTTCCATGCGACATTACATTAAAATAGTTGAATCGCTGCGAAATGTTAAAATATATTTGTTGTTCTGAAATCAATTATTTTGTTGTTTCAAATTATTTACATATAACATTCCTCTATTCCATTCAGACTTTTGATTTCGAGGGATAAAAATCTTCAACAGAATTGAATTTTTTGCTTGAAGATGTAGCACGCATCTTAGTTCGAGAATTAACTTACAAATAACTCGCCCCATTGTTGCTTTGTTTTAAGCGTGTTACAGCTTTTTAACTGATCGTGGGTCGAAGGGCGCGTGCAAGGGGTCGCTGCAGCATTCGATTGTGGTACCGATACTCAAATCAGGGAAGTAGAATAACACTCCGTCATGTTATCGGTCGATATTTCTTACGAGTAGTCTTTGTAAAGTTATTGGAACGAATGGTGGCTAACAGCTTGAAATGGTTATTTGCGAGGTTTAATATAAGTCACCAAACACAATCTGGTTTCAAGCCGAATAGATCAACATTGGACAATATTATTAGTCTGCACGAGGCCTTTTCAAGCAAGCGACACGTTATTGCAGTGTTTATTGATATTGAAAAAGCTTACGATATGGTTTGGCGTGAAGGACTAATTTATTAACTTCATAATCTTGGTATAAAGGGTCGAATCTTATCCTAAATAAAGTCATTTTTATCAAACCAGGTTCTCCAAGTGCGGGTTGGATCTACTTATTCTAAAAGTTCTAAATCAGAAAATGGGATTGTTCAAGGAAGCGTAATAAGTCCACTGCTTTTCACAATCATGATAAATGATTTTCAAAAACACATTCCTCGACATCGAGAACATTTGATTAGGATTGCGCCATTTGCTGAGGATTGGTTTAAAAATCAACGAACTTTTATCGGATATGCAAATGTCATTAATAAATCAAACTAGATAGCGATCGGAGACCGTCGACTTTTCGATCTTCCGCATGTAACCGCTACACATCGCGACAGGGCTTTGTTACGCACAAAATAGTTCGCAGCGACGAAGGTTAGGGGATCCCCCAAAACAGAAACTGCAGTTTTAATTTCTTCTCTCTGACTTAATAGCGACACCGCGTGTCCCATTACTAATTAATTAATAACTTGCTAATTATACGGCATAATTTATCAAAAATCAATAGGCTTCTGGTCCGAGATATGATGAATGCACATGCAATTTGGAGCAGATTCAACTTCGCTTCCGCGAGATATCGCGTGCATCTAACACACAGACAAACAGACATACAGACAGACAAATACCTATCAACATACTTACCGATCTTAAGATCGATAAGTAATAATAATAATAATCTAGTCAAATTGTCAATAATTCTGTATCCTAAAAGTGTGATATTCTGTTCGTATGCGGCAAATTATGAATGCCTTTGTCCATGAAATAGAGATTAAATTTTATTCTAAAACTTCAATAATCGACTCAGAGGCCCGTGGCGGATATGGTGTAGTACAATTGTCAGAGCGGCATGTAATCTTTAACCTTGATAAACAGACCATATTATGTTGCATGGTCGCACATTAGATGAATTTGGACAATTAATGCTCTTAACATGTAGTAGAACAGCAATACCTCAACAACATAATAACGAGAATATCGGTCGGAGACCGAAGACTTATCGATCGAAACTGCGGTTTCGATTCATGACTCTATAAAGACACCGCGTGTCCCATCACAAATTAATTATTAACTCGCTCATTATACGACATGATTTATCCAAAATCAATAGGCTTCTGGTCCGAGATATGATGAATGCACATGCAAAACTTGGTGCAGAATCACCAACGCGTTCGTGAGATATCGCGTGCATCTAACAAACAAACAGACAGACAAACAGACAAATACCTATCAACATACTTACCGATCTAAAGATCGATAAGTAATAATTCATGGCGAAATGTTATGTAACTAAGTACACCCAAAGATGAGTCGAATTCCTCCTGAGTGTATCATCTCCAGGAAACGCACAGTATAATATTCTGAAACGTAGTAATCGACTATCATAATATTTTTTAATCAACTTGGCAACTATTTATAAGTAATTGACAAAGGAGTAAAGTACCTCCCATTCGTGTATGGAAAAAATAAATAAAATAGCTTGACAGGCTTTGTGTATGTATATTATTGCTTTAGCGCAAAGTATTTATGCAATTTCGCTGACATGATTTGTAAAACTGAATGCGACTATCAAGCTGGAACCACTCTTACGCCGATGGACTATTTTTTGTTTGTTTTTGTATCAAAAGTGTGGCGAGTTCACTTGTTTTTGAATCAGAACCGAGCCCATACAGTTTCCGATTCCAAAATTTGACCACATGCTAACAGTAATTTGAATTTTTTGGAATGTCATCTTTGACCTGGCATAATAAGTGTTAAATGAACTCGAATCTAGTTTAACAAGGTTCTTGATCCAGGACGAATTGGTGCAAAATAAAAAGTTGACGATCCCATCAATAGACGAATACAAAGAACAATAATTCCTGTTGTCTAATTTATTTCAAATTTTTTGTTGTGTTGTTTTCTCATGATTGTGTAATTTATAGTTATTTTTATCAGATTGCTCCATTGCTATATTTGCTGCTATATATTACAGCATTTGGTATCGCTGACTGGATGACTCACTGAGTCTTTCGCGATCCCACGTTAATTGCTATGAATCGATGTTTCCCGTTTTTTAGTTGCTATGTTTTTCTTTTGATTTATTGATTCTTGCATGACGAAAATAAATATCTGAATCTGAATCTAATGTTTCGTTTTGAGACAGATGATCATGCGAATTATAGAATATAGATGATGACATAATTTAGAATACGGACTCTTCCTTTTTCTCACCATAATTAAATAATTGCAGCATGCTGACATTATAAGCATTTGACGACAAACTAGCGGGATTGCTTTCAAGATAATTGCGGCAAGGACGAGTTTTATTGTTCCCAGTAAAATAAGCCTTAAAACCGTTACATCGAGCCTGTGCTATTTTGGGTATTTACTTCGTTGAGTTTAATGTCTTTCTGTTTCGTATTTAATTCAATCACAATTGTTAAATTCTTGCCAAGCCTGGAATAATCCTATTTCAGCAATTGGTACTTGATGATTAATAGATGTTTAATTGTTCCCAGGAAAGGAAAGCTTATAACCGTTACATCGAGCCTGGGATATTTGCGATATTACTTCCTTATGCGTACGAGTGCATGTCTTTTTGTTTCGTATTCAACTGAATGATAATCGTTAAACTCCTGCCAAGCCTGAAGTAATCCTATTGCAGCCATTGGTATTTGTTGAATATTAAATGTAAACAATGTACTTGCTTTGTCATCAACTTAAAATACCATAACTTGAAATAGTACTCCCGTTGTATGTGCAACAAGATGGCGGGCACCGGAACGTAGTATGTGTATCAGGTTAGGGTTAGGCCATAATTTCAGGTACAAATACTACGAGAGTCACTTGGCTAGTCTCCGAACTTGTAATAGAAATAAAAAGAGGAAAATTGGAATAACATTATGGCCTAACCTTAAACTGGTACACATACTATGTTCCGGTGTCAGCCATCTTGTTGCACATACTACGGGAGCGCCCTTGAAATATGCAAAACCGAATATATACACCCTTTGTCATAAAGTTATTTTTACTGTTGTTTTCTTGTTAACTCGGGGTATAGCCTTAGGTGGAGAGGATTAAATTAAATATGATTTAATGGCTTTTTCATAAATATAATATTTGGTGTCGGTTTTAGTCAGAAAGTTATATTATAAAATGCACACGCCATTCGGACATGCGTTATTTACCCATCAAATCTTAAGGCTCAAAAAGAGTTTGTGTTGGGACGAATGCCATACTAAACTTACTTTACGAAGAATTGCTTCTTAGTCTATTAAATTGATCTGATGCGGTTCTTTTCTACTTTCACCGGAGGCACTAAAACGTTTGTTCCGTGACGTAATCGCGATGGTGGGCGTGAATGACTGGGAATTTCTCAATTTGTACATAGTATGACTGGTCTTTTCTCACTTGGTACTGAGAAATGGGAAACAACATCTTTCAAATTAAAGGACTCAAACATATAGCATATAGAATAAAAGGTAAAACACGATTATTTGCAACGATATCCAATATGTAATTATGAATCTCTAAATAACGAATTACAGAGTCGCAATTTATAGCTCTTCAATCCACATACAAGAACATAGGAGATATATTATGATAAAGTGTCAGTAGTATAGAAGTTATCGAAAAAAAATTTTTTATTTCTTCAAGACCATTATTTTTGATACACTTTAGATAAATTCTAAAATTTCATCATTGCAATTTAGTTGGTCTTCATAAATCTTGCTGAAGTTCTGCCCGATGTTTACTCTAGTAAAGTCAACTGACATAACGAAAAATCAAAATACTAATAACATGCGGGTCAATTTTGTAATCGGAAACTGTATGGCTCAATTCTGATCCGAAAACAAATGGAATTTCACCACTTTTTATACAAAAAAAAGATAAAAATCAGTTGGCGAAAGAATGGTTCCAACTTAATCGTCGCATTCGGTTTTACAAATCATGTCAGTAAAATCTCTAAATTAAAATCCATTGCGGTAAAGCGAAAATATACATATACAAAGGCTATCAAGATATTTTATATGTCCCATGCACGAATGTGAGGTACTTTACGCCTTTGTCTATTATTTATAAATAATTGCTAGGTCGATGAAAAATATTATGTTGGTCAAATACTACTTTTCAAAATATGCATCATCTTTGGGTGTACTTGAGCTATTGTTGTTCTACTACATGTTGAGAACATTAATTGTCTTATTTTATCTAATGTACGACCATGCAACCTGTGACGTCGTGATTATCAAGATTAAAGATTACATTCTGACAATTGTACTGCCGTACTGTCGTTCTGACAATTGTACTGAGATGATAGAGCCAAAATGATTGTCAGAAAAGTTAATAAAATTAATAAATGATCACTATGGATCGTGATTAAAAATGTTATTCGGCACTGGCTCTTGAATCGGTTATAACAGTTTTAGGATAAATTGGAATCTCTATTTTATGGACAAAATCATCCATAATTTGCCGCATAAAAACAGAATATCAAATGTTAAGATTTATATAAAAATTAATACCAAATAGAGCAAGATTTCAAATTGATACAGGATTATTGTCAATTTGACTAGATGGCATAAAAGGAAAATATTATTTGTGTCTTACGGTGATATGATACGACGAAGTCGGACATCGCATTGCAGTCATCACGCAACTAGTTATTGTGCTTCTCACTTTATAAAAAATCGGTTAAAAGACTCGTTCTACATGATTCTCAAATTTTACCAATAAACCATCAACGTTGATCGGTAAATGGTCTCAAAACGACTCAAATTAAAATGAGGTATATTTTAACCACAGTCTTTCAATGAAGAAGATATTCTTTTTCACAACTTGCAAAACAGTTCCAATGTTAACTTTGGGGTGAAATTACCTGATATTCAAATCAATAGAAACATGTCAATATGTCAAGCAAGATACACTAATAAAATAGGAATGCATTTACTTTTCATGCATAATTTTGGAGTAATATTTTAATCTACATCATGTTTAGGAGAAAGATTGATTTGAAAAATAAGTTATTTGATAAAAATGACACAATGTGGCTGATTTTCTTTTTTTGATCTTCTTTTGAAAAATAAGTTATTTGATAAAAATGACACAATGTGGCTGATTTTCTTTTTTTGATCTTCTTTTGAAAAATAAGTTATTTGATAAAAATGACACAATGTGGCTGATTTTCTTTTTCTGATCTTCTTTTAGGCAGCGATTACCTCATCTTGTTTTTCTACTTCCCTACCCAGAAAACGAAAGTTTCTTTTTTACTTCCCTCCCTCAAAACGAAAGTTACTATAGATTTGTCTTTGGAACCGATTTGATTATATTTATTGGATTGTAATTGTGATTTTTATCAGATGGAACTTGCAAAAAACCGTTAAAGAATTAAAATGTTCAGATAGATCACAGTAAATCATAATAAGTTTCCTTTCTATTTCCGTCTTACAGCCTTTCGATGTTGGAAATGTGACAACGCTTTGACGTTTGAAGATTGCACCAACAGAGGACAAAGTGTAGAATGCGATGGCGAGAATGTGAGTGTTTTTATCAAAGTATATATTTTAAAATTTTTAAATATTTCCATTGTTCTCACAATCTATTTTTTTGCTGTCCATTCGGATAAACGGGGCCGTGATTGTTCATTTTGATTATATATGCTAAAATATTATCACAGTATTTGACGCAAATTATTTAGTTGTTGTTGGCGCAAATAATATTAGAAATTAAGGCAACAGATATATCAAGATAAAGTCGTTGAGATTTATTGCATAATACAAACTTTTTTGTATCAGTTAAGTATATTGATCTTGAGAACTAAAAGAAAAAATATTTCCAATCTCTGTTTCTCTTCTATTATAAGGTCGTTGATGTTTATTTTATGATACAAACTTTTTTGTATCAATTAAGTACGTTAATCTTGAAAATTAACAGAAAAAATATTTCCAACCTCTGTTTCACTTTTATTTCAACATCAGTGGTCGGCAAACTGTTTGTACTGTTGTACTAAGTATACTCGTTTTCAGTAGTGCACGGGCCGCATTAATTCCCGCCTATAAATAAACAATCACCACATTCTTCAACCACAAACTTCCCGACTCACCAGAAACTCCTATTCTCCCATTGTGTTCAACGCCGGTCTCAATGAGACGTGTATTTAGCCGTTTCTCATTTAATTATCATAAATATATATTATTTTTATTTACTTTTCATCAATGTGAAGGATTATGTTAATTCATTGTTATGGGCTTAATGACCAAAGCTTTAGAATTAACTGACAAGTTGGTTGGTTATATCACTCAAATAGATTTTAAAATAATGCTCACAAAAATATTTTCGAGAAAATTTGTTTGCGGGTCGCATAAGACTGACGGTCCACAGTTTGACGGACCCTACTTTACATTGATTTGTATATGCCGCGGTTTTATTCACAATATCTACATAATAACATTTCAAATAAACATTTGCGATATGACATATCGGCCTAAACGCACGAGTTTTGCAAAGATGTATACCATTCAGTTTCATTAGAATATATCAGACAAATTTTACTCGTTTCACGATTGACCACGATGTTTTGTGGACAATCAAAACTTATTTTAATTTTAGTCGTTGCCTCCATATATAGATTATTCGTTTAGATAATTATAAGCCTGTTGCCTTGGAGTACTCGTAAAATTTGTGTTCTTTAAAAGGGCGGGTGCTTCACCGAAATCAGATTTAACGTGGTTTAATTCCACCAATCAGACTCACAACAAGATGCAAACAAGGCAATGAATGCAGCAAAAACGAATATCGGGTAAGATGTTTTTCATGACATTAAATAAAATTTTCGTGCTAGCAAAATATTATAGGTATTAACAAAATAACACGTTTATTCTCTCAACGCATTTCACAGATTACCTATTTCATATTTAGTTTTAATTTTGTTTAAATTCATTAGATTATTCATTTAATTTCAATTTAAATAAAATAAAGTCAAACTCGACCTCTTTTCCATGAGTTTTGTTATGGTAATTAATATCTAGTAGCTACGCTTTATTTATTTGCATACCAGGTAATGTATCAACACAATGCCATTGAATTATGAAGCCCTAATCCTCGCAAAATTTCGACAAGCTATGAACACCAGAATTGATGATCACAATAACCTTACAGTGGACTTCAGCCATAATAATTAAGATCGAGACCGAGGTGCTACCCAACTCTATTTGCCCTGAGGCTTGGGATACAACTCAATTAAATATTCAAAATTATTATTGTGATAACTGAGTAATATATGCGAGTATCCGTAAAAACCTGAATATTTAACGACCATTCGTCAGTTCTTTTCATAAATCCGATTGGCTTGCAAACGCACACAACTACTTTTTACATCAATTCTGCCTCCCATGGCCGGCCTTTTGTGATGTATTTCTTTTTCTCACTCTTTTCAATATGTTTAAGAAAACGGACCACTAGGGTGTTTTTTTTTAACAGCAGTTTTTTTCCGTTCAGTATAAATGATAAAATATATGTGCTTTTAAATATCCATCATACAATCAAACTAGAAAGGAGTAGTACTAAAAATTGATTTTTAACAGAATGTTAAAGAATGCAAGTCTAGAAACCCGATCTGCAGATGTTGCTGCGTGGGAGAAGATTGTAATAAACCGGAATTGTGATGTTTTCCAAGTAAGTATTCAAGCTTAATTCTTGTCCGTGTACTTCACCACTCACTTTATGGTCAACAATAGACGATATTTCTGGTTAAATTATACACTCGCAGAACTGTAAATTAAATTTAACCGATTTGAGAACAATCGAATACAAGTATTATCATGTAATTAACAGAATAGTGTTTTATAACTTCATTCATTTATGTAATTTTCTTCTAGTTCAGCATACCCGGATTGTCGACAATTGAAATTTGAGAAAATATGAATATATTACAAACCCCTTTTTATGAAGCGTTTCACCCAATTTCTCCAATTAAGTTCTTGATCAAATGATCATCTAGTATCAACGTATTTAATGGCTTGAATCATAGGTTATCCCAGTGCCGACCGTGTCGGATAAATACTTTCGAGAAGTAGGGCCTGCTAATAACACATTCTATAGAGCTAAAATATGAAATATATTTAACTCCTTTTTATAAAGCGTTTCACCCAATTTTTCTCAACCAAGGTCCTGAACAAAAGATCAACCAGACAAAAGAAACTATCGGAATCTCTACTGTCTCGATATGGATCAAATAAATTTATATCTTTCAAAAATAAAAACTGAGTATAATAACTAATATTCGAGTGATTTAGTATGCAAAGATATGATACAAACGATTTGCTTATTTTCCCGGAATGCGCTCTGCCAGCCCTTTCACGGTGCCATAGTCGCTACGTACATACAATAAACCATAATACATACATAAAAGCGGACTACAGGTTGAGAATTTGTTAAGCAATGCATTGTTCATGTTGCCAATGTTTTATGTCAAAAAATAAAAGAGGCATTTGCAAAAAGAGGCCCGTCAAGATAGACGGTTCTTGCCGTGTTGAATGAGCTTTGGAATTCTATAGCAGAAACTTTAATTGCAAAAGCGGGAAAGTTTTCATCATATTGCTTGGCGCTTGAAAAAAGTACTGACATCAAGGTCACTGCTAATCATGCAGGGAGTTAATGATGATTTTGAAAATACCGTAGAGCCCTCAGCCATCGTCCCAATTAAGGGCATGACTACAGGCATTATTTGTGGGAGAGCTGCGATTAAAATGATCAACGTTTTGGCTTGTTTTTGGCACAACTTTCGGGCATACGATGATAGGGACATTCAATTCTTGGGAAACAAAAGTTTCATTGTTTGAATAATTGTGTAAAAGTTTGGCGTGAAGGTATTTTTTTTATTTTATTAACTCGTAGTCAGTGTAGCAATACTAAAACACTACCATGTTAAGTGGCCCGCGCACGTGAAAGTAAAGTAAATGTGGCCCTTTGTTCAAAAGAATTGGACGACCCTGATGTAGACCCTCGATGCCAGCAGCAGGCCAGATAGTCACGGGGAAACCCGCAAGCAGTTCAAAGATGTTCAAGTAAAAATAATAAAAAGATGAAGATACAAAAGCAGCGACCCCAAATTAGGATTATATAGAAGCAGCGGTCGTGCCCACCACAACCAGTCAGCCAGTCATAAATAAAGATGTACTATAATTAGATATACAAAAAAAATATATCCATGGATATCAAGCCAGTAATCACACAAAGTTACTGCTAGTTCCATGCGACATTACATTAAAATGGTTCAATTGCTGCAAAATCTGTGTTAAGATATATTCGTTGTTCTGAAATCAATTATTTTGTTGTTTCAAATTATTCACATATAACATTCCTCTATTCCATTCAGAATTTCAATTTCGAGGGATAAAAATCTTCAACAGAATTGAATTCTTTGCCTGAAGATGTAGCACGCATCTTAGTTTCAGAATTAACTTACAAATAACTCGCCCACCATTGCTTTGTTTTAAGCGTGTTACAGCTTTTTAACTGATCGTGGGCCGGAGGGCGCGTGCAAGGTGTCGCTGCAGCATTCGATTGTGGTACCGATACTCAAATCAGGGAAGAAGAATAACACTCCGTCATCTTATCGGTCGATATCTCTTACGAGTAGTCTTTGTAAAGTTATTGGAACGAATGGTGGCTAACAGCTTGAAATGGTTATTTGCGAGGTTTAATATAAGTCACCAAACACAATCTGGTTTCAGGCCGAATAGATCAACATTGGACAATATTATTAGTCTGCACGAGGCTTTTTCAAGCAAGCGACACGTTATTGCAGTGTTTATTGATATTGAAAAAGCTTACGATATGGTTTGGCGTGAAGGACTAATTTATTAACTTCATAATCTTGGTATAAAGGGTCGAATCTTATCTTAAATAAAGTCATTTTTATCAAACCAGGTTCTCCAAGTACGGGTTGGATCTACTTATTCTTAAGTTCTAAATCTGAAAATGGGATTGTTCAAGGAAGCGTAATAAGTCCACTGCTTTTCACAATCATGATAAATGATTTTCAAAAACACATTTCTCGACATCCAGAACATTTGATTAGGATTGCGCCATTTGCTGAGGATTGGTTTAAAAATCAACGAACTTTTATCGAATATGCAAATGTCATTAATAAATCAAACTAGATAGCGATCGGAGACCGTCGACTTTTCGATCTTCCGCGTGTAACCGCTACACATCGCAGACAGGGCTTTGTTACGCACAAAATAGTTCGCAGCGACGAAGGTTAGGGGATCCCCCAAAACAGAAACTGCAGTTTTAATTTCTTCTCTCTGACTTAATAGCGACACCGCGTGTCCCATTACTAATTAAGTAATAACTTGCTAATTATACGGCATAATTTATCAAAAATTAATAGGCTTCTGGTCCGAGATATGATGAATGCACATGCAATTTGAAGCAGATTCAACTTCGCTTCCGCGAGATATCGCGTGCATCTAACACACAGACAAACAGACATACAGACAGACAAATACCTATCAACATACTTACCGATCTTAAGATCGATAAGTAATAATAATAATAATCTAGTCAAATTGTCAAAAATTCTGTATCATAAAAGTGTGATATTCTGTTCTTATGCGGCAAATTATGGATGCCTTTGTCCATGAAATAGAGATTAAATTTTATTCTAAAACTTCAATAATCGACTCAGAGGCCCGTGGCGGATATGGTGTAGTACAATTGTCAGAGCGGCATGTAATCTTTAACCTTGATAAACAGACCATATTATGTTGCATGGTCGCACATTAGATGAATTTGAACAATTAGTGCTCTTAACATGTAGTAGAACAGCAATACCTCAACAACATAATAACGAGAATATCGGTTGGGGACCGAAGACTTATCGATCGAAACTGCGGTTTCGTTTCATGACTCTATAGTGACACCGCGTGTCCCATCACTAATTAATTATTAACTCGCTAATTATACGACATGATTTATCCAAAATCAATAGGCTCCTGGTCCGAGATATGATGAATGCACATACAAAACTTGGTGCAGAATCACCAACGCGTTCGTGAGATATCGCGTGCATCTAACAAACAAACAGACAGACAAACAGACAAATACCTATCAACAGACTTACCGATCTAAAGATCGATAAGTAATAATTAATGGCGAAATGTTATGTAACTAAGTACACCCAAAGATGAGTCGAATTCCTCCTGAGTGTATCATCTCCAGGGAACGCACAGTATAATATTTTGAAACGTAGTAATCGACTAACATAATATTTTTTAATCAACATGGCAACTATTTATAAGTAATTGACAAAGGAGTAAAGTACCTCCCATTCGTGTATGGGAAAAATAAAATAGCTTGACAGGCTTTGTGTATGTATATTATTGCTTTGGCGCAAAGTATTTATGCAATTTCGCTGACATGATTTGTAAAACTGAATGCGACGATCAAGTTGGAACCACTCTTACGCCAATGGACTATTTTTTTATGTTTTTGTATCAAAAGTGTGGCAAGTTCACTTGTTTTGGGATCAGAACCGAGCCCATACAGTTTCCGATTCCAAAATTTGCCCGCATGTTAACAGTAATTTGAATTTTTTGGTATGTCATCGTTGACGTAGCATAATAAGTGTTAAATGAACTCCAATCTAGTTTAACAAGGTTCTTGATCCATGACGAAATTGTGCAAAATAAAAAGTTGACGATCCCATCAATAGACGAATACAAAGAACAATAATTCCTGTTGTCTAATTTATTTCAAATTTATTGTTGTGTTGTTTTCCCATGATTGTGTAATTTATGGTTATTTTCATCAGATTGCTTCATTGCTATATTTGCTGCTATATATTACAGCATTTGGTATCGCTGACTGGATGACTCATTGAGTCTTTCGCGATCCCACGTTAATTGCTATGAATCGATGTTTCCCGTTTTTTTTAGTTGCTATGTTTTTCTTTTGATTTATTGATTCTTGCATGACGAAAATAAATATCTGAATCTGAATCTGAAACTAATGTTTCGTTTTGAGACAGATGATCATGCGAATTATAGAATATAGATGATGACATAATTTAGAATACGGACTCTTCCTTTTTCTCACCATAATTAAATAATTGCAGCATGCTGACATTATAAGCATTTGACGCCAAACTAGCGGGATTGCTTTCAAGATAATTGCGGCAAGGACGAGTTTCATTGTTCCCAGTAAAATAAGCCTTAAAACCGTTACATCGAGCCTGTGCTATTTTGGGTATTACGTCGTTGAGTTTAATGTCTTTCGATTTCGTATTTAATTCAACCACAATTGTTAAATTCTTGCCAAGCCTGGAATAATCCTATTGTAGCAATTGGTAATCGATGAATAATAGATGTTTAATTGTTCCCAGGAAAGGAAAGCTTATAACCGTTACATCGAGCCTGGGATATTTGCGATATTACTTCCTTATGCGTACGAGTGCATGTCTTTTTGTTTCGTATTCAACTGAACGATAATCGTTAAACTCCTGCCAAGCCTGAAGTAATCCTATTGCAGCCATTGGTATTTGTTGAATATTAGATGGTAAATGTAAACAATGTACTTGCTTTGTCATCAACTTAAAATACCATAACTTGAAATAGTACTCCCGTTGTATGTGCAACAAGATGGCGGACACCGGAACGTAGTATGTGTATCAGGTTAGGGTTGGGCCATAATTTCAGGTACAAATACTACGAGAGTCACTTGGCTAGTCTCCGAACTTGTAATAGAAATAAAATGAGGACAATTGGAATAACATTATGGCCTAACCCTAACCTGGTACACATACTATGTTCAGGTGTCCGCCATCTTGTTGCACATACTACGGGAGCGCTCTTGAAATATGCAAAACCGAATATATATACCCTTTGTCCAAAAGTTATTTTTACTGTTGTTTCCTTGTTAACTCGGGGTATAGCCTTAGGTGGAGAGGATTAAATTAAATATGATTTAATGGCTTTTTCATGAATATAATATTTGGTGCCGGTTTTAGTCAGAAAGTTATAATATAAAATGCACACGCCATTCGGACATGCTTATTTTACCCATCAAATCTTAAAGCTCAAAAAGAGTTTGTGTTGGGACGAATGCCATACTAAACTTACTTTACGAAGAATTGCTTCTTAGTCATTTAAATTGATCTGATGCGGTTCTTTTCTACTTTCACCGGAGGCACTAAAACGTTTGTTCCGTGACGTAATCGCGATGGTGGGCGTGAATGACTGGGAATTTCTCAATTTGAACGTAGTATAACTGGTCTTTTCTCACTTGGTACTGAGAAATGGGAAACAACATCTTTCAAATTAAAGGACTCAATCATATAGCATATAGAATAAAAGGCAAAACACGATTATTTGCAACGATATCCAATATGTAATTATGAATCTCTAAATAACGAATTACAGAGTCGCAATTTATGGCTCTTCAATCCACATACAAGAACATAGGAGATATATTATGATAAAAGTGTCAGTAGTATAGAAGTTATTGAAGAAATTTTTTTATTTCTTCAAGACCATTATTCTTGATACACTTTAGATAAATTCTAAAATTTCAGCATTGCAATTTAGTTGGTCTTCATAAATCTTGCTGAAGTTCTGCCCGATGTTTACTCTAGTAAAGTCAGCTGACATACCGAAAAATCAAAATACTATTAACATGCGGGTCAATTTCGTAATCGGAAACTGTATGGCTCAATTCTGATTCGAAAACAAATGAACTTGCCCCACTTTTTATACAAAAAAAAAAGATAAAAATCTGTTGGCGAAGGAATGGTTCCAACTTAATCGTCGCATTCGGTTTTACAAATCATGTCAGTAAAATCTCTAAATTAAAATCCATTGCGCTAAAGCGAAATTATACATATACAAAGGCTATCAAGTTATTTTATATGTCCCATGCACGAATGTGAGGTACTTTACTCTTTTGTTTATTATTTATAAATAATTGCTAGGTCGATGAAAAATATTATGTTGGTCAAATACTACTTTTCAAAATATGCATCATCTTTGGGTGTACTTGAGCTATTGTTGTTCTACTACATGTTGAGAGCATTAATTGTCTTATTTTATCTAATGTTCGACCATGTAACCTGTGACGTGATTATCAAGATTAAAGATTACATTCTGACAACTGTACTGCTGTACTGTCGTTCTGACAATTGTACTGCACGGGGGGCACGATAGATGATAAGAGATGATAGAGCTAAAATAATTGTCAAAAAAGTTAATAAAATCATTAAATGATAACTATGGATCGTGATTGAAAAATGTTATTCGACACTGGCTCTTGATTCGGGTATAACAGTTTTAGGATAAAATGGAATCTCTGTTTTATGGACAAAATCACCCATAATTTGCCGCATAAAAACAGAATATCAAATGTTAAGATTTATATAAAAATATATATCAAATAGAGCAAGATTTCAAATTGATACAGGATTATTGTCAATTTGACTAGATGGCATAAAAGGAAAATATTATTTGTGTCTTACGGTGATATGATACGACGAAGTCTGACATCGCATTGCAATCATCACGCAATTAGTGATTGTGCTTCTCTCTTTATAATAAAATCGGCTAAAAGACTCGTTCTACATGATTCTCAAATTTTACCAATAAACCATCAACGTTGATGGGTAAATGGTCTCAAAACGACTCAAATTGAAATGAGTTTTATTTTAACCACAGTCGTTCAATGAAGAAGATATTCTTTTTCACAACTTGCAAAACAGTTCCAATTTTAACTTTTAGGTGAGATTACCTGATATTTAAAATCAATAAAAACATGTCAATATGTCAAGCAAGATACACCAATAAAATAGGAATGCATTTACTTTTCATGCATAATTTTGGAGTAATATTTTAATCTAGACATCATGTTTAGGAGAAGGATTGACATAAAATCTAAGTTATTTGATAAAAATGACACAATGTGGCTGATTTTCTTCTTCTGATCTTCTTCTAGGCAGCGATTACCTCATCTTGTTTTTCTACTTCCCCTCCCCATAAAACAAAAGTTTCTTTTTAACTTCTCTCCTCACAAAACGAAAGTTTGTTTCTACTTCCCTCCAACAAAACGAAAGTTTTGATTTTCTACTTCTCTCCTCACAAAACGAAAGTTTATTTTTCTACTTCTCTCCCCACAAGACGACAGTTTCTTTTTTCTTATCAATTGATTGAATTTTTATTTTATTTTTCATATGATATAATTATCTCCTTACTCGTATAAAATAGTGGTGCACATACTGTACTGCACATATTGACTTTTCAGCAAGCTGAAACTATCTTCTGTTCTTCAGACTATCTACTCAACAGTGTAAACTGATAAAATGTTGAAATCCACATTGACGTTATTTGTGCTTGTTTTTTGTAGTGTCGACATTTCAAAAGGTGAGATATTATTACTTTAATACTTCCTACAAACATGCCGCGTCGTGTTTATACGCCTCTGTTTTGTGACTGGTTTTTGGACGAGAACCCGAATACTGACCCACATCTATAATAATTCTGTTATCCGCTGATACACAATACCAAATCCATTTATCTGTAAGAAGTCACTGATGTAAATTATTACGAAAATGACATTATGTATAACTAAAGATGTCTTATGAAAGCAAATCCAAAATTAATTCTAGATATTCACGCAATAGGTCATATTGTTAATAATATGACACGTAAGCGGATTGCTCTTCATCTTGATCTTAGATTATTACTAGACAGTGATTAGTTTGTAATTCTCCTAGAACCTAAATATCTCAAGCTCAGAGATTGGTTTATCAACTTAACATAGATTTGTGTTCGGAACCGATTTGATTATATTTATTGGATTGTAATAGTGATTTTTATCAGAGTGAACTTACAAAAAAACGGTGAAAAATTAAAATGTTCAGATAGATCACAGTAAATCATAATAAGTTTCCTTTCTATTTCCGTCTTACAGCCTTTCGATGTTGGAAATGTGACAACGCTTTGACGTTTGAAGATTGCACCAACAGAGGACAAAGTGTAGAATGCGATGGCGAGAATGTGAGTGTTTTTATCAAAATATATATTTTAAAATTTTTGAATAATTCCATTGTTCTCACAATATATTTTTATCGCTGTCCATTCGGATAAACGGGGCCGTGATTGTCCATTTTGATTATATATGCTAAAACATTATCCAAGTATTTGACGCAAATTATTTGGTTGTTGTTGGCGCAAATAATATTAGAAAAAAAAGGCAACAGATCTATCAAGATAAAGTCGTTGAGATTTATTTCATAATACAACCTTTTTTGTATCAACTAAGTACATTGATCTTGAGAACAAACAGAAAAAATATTTTCAACCTCTGTTTCACTTTTATTTCAACATCAGTGGTCGACAAACTGTTTGTACTGTTGTACTAAGTATACTCGTTTTCAGTAGCGTGCGGCCGCATTAATTCCCGCCTATAAATAAACAATACCACATTTCAAACTTCCCGACTCACCAGAAACTCCTATTCTCCTATTGTGTTCGAAGACGGTCTCAATGAAACGTGTATTTAGCCGTTTCTCATTTATTATAACAAATATATATTGTTTTATTTACTTTCCATCAATGTGAAGGATGATGTTAATTCATTGTTATGGGCTTGATGACCAAAGCTTTAGAATTAACTGACAAGTTGGTTGGTTATATCACTCAAATAGATTTTCAATAATGCTCAAAAAATATTTTCGAAAAAATTTGTTTGCGGGTTGCATAAGACTGACGGTCCACAGTTTGACGGACCCTACTTTACATTGATTTGTATATGACGCGGTTTTATTCAAAATATCTACATAATAACATTTCAAATAAACATTTGCGATATGACATTTCGGCCTAAACGCACGAGTGTTGCAAAGAGGTATACCATTCAGTTTCATTAGAATATATCAGACAAGTTTACTCGTTTCACGATGGACCACGATGTTTTGTGAACGCTTCAAAACGTATATTTAATTTTAGTCATTGCCTCCATATATAGATTATTCGTTCAGATAATTATGAGCCTGTTGCCTTGGAGTACTCGTAAAATTTGTGTTCTTTAAAAGGGCGGGTGCTTCACCGAAATCAGATTTAACGTGGGTTTAATTCCACCAATCAGACTCACAACAAGATGCAAACAAGGCAATGAATGCAGCAAAAACGAATATCGGGTAAGATGTTTTTCATGACATTAAAGAAAATTTTTGTGTTAACAAAATATTATAGGTATTAACAAAATAACACGTTTATTCCCTCAACGCATTTCACAGATTACCTATTTCATAATTAGTTTTAATTTTGTTTAAATTCATTACATTATGCATTTAATTTCAATTTAAATAAAATAAACTCAAACTCGACATCTTTTCTATGAGTTTTGTTATGATAATTAATATCTAGTAGCTACACTTTATTTTATTGCATACCAGGCAATGTATCAACACAATGCCATTGAATTATAAAGCCCTAATCCTCGCAAAATTTCGACAAACTTAATTGAGATCGAGACCGAGGTGCTACCAACTCTATTTGTCCTGATGCTTGGGATACAACTCAATTAAATATTTAAAATTATTATTGTAATAACTGAGTAATATAATTATGCAAGTATCCATACAAACCTGAATATTTAACGATCATTCGTCCGTCCTTTTCATAAACCCGATTGGCTTGCAAACGCACACAACTACTTTTTACTTCAATTCTGCCACCCATGGCCGGCCTTTTGTGATATATTTCTTGTTCTTACTCTTTTCAATATGTTTAAGAAAACGGACCACTAGGGCGTTTTTTCTCATTTTGTTTTCTTTAACAGCTGTGTTTTCCGTTCAATATAAATGATAAAATATACGTGCTTTTAAATATTCATCATACAATCAAATTAGGAAGGAGTAGTACTAAAAAATTGATTTTTAACAGAATGTAAAAGATTGCGAGTCTAGAAACCCGATCTGCAGATGTTGCTGCGTGGGAGAAGATTGTAATAAACCGGAATTGCGAATTGCCAAGTATTCAAGCTTAACTCTTGTCCGTGTACTTCACCACTCACTTTATGGTCAACAATAGACGATATTTCTGTAACACCTGGTTAAATTATAACTCGCAAAACTGTAAAGTAAATTTAATCGATTTCGGAACAATCGAATACAAGTATTTTCATGTAATTAACAGAATAGTGATTTATAACTTTATTTATTCATGTAATTATCTTCTAGTTCAGCATACCCGGATTGTCGACCATTGAAATTCCGAGAAAATATGAATATATTTTAAACCCCTTTTTATAAATCGTTCCACCCAATCTCTCCAATCAAAGTCTTGAACAATTGATCATCTAGTATCAACGTATTTAATGGCTTGATTCATAGGTTATCCCAGTGCCGTCCGTGTCGGATAAATACTTTCGAGAAGTAGAACCTGCTAATAACACATTCCATAGAGCTAAAATATTAATATATATTTAACTCCTTTTTATAAAGCGTTTCACCCAATTTTTTTAATCAAGGTCCTGAACAAAAGATCAACCAGACAAAAGAAACTATTTAAAGGAACCGGAATCTCTACTGTTTCGATAAGGATCAAATAAATTTATATCTTCCAAAAATAAAAATTGAGTATAACATATAACTATTATTCGAGTGATTTAGTATGCAAAGATGTCATACAAACGATTTGCTTCTTCCTGTGGAATGCGCTCTGCCAGCCCTTTCAAGGTGCCATAGTCGCTACGTACATACAATAAACCATAATACATACATAAAAGCGAGCTACAGGTTGAGAATTCGTTAAGCAATGTATTGTTACTTATCGATCTTTAGATCGGTAAGTAAGTTGATGGGTATTTGTCTGTTTGTCTGTTAGATGCACGCGATATCTCACGAAAGCGTGGTTAAATCTGCTCCCAATTTTGCATGTGCATTCATCATATCTCGGACCAAAAGCCTATGGATGAATTATGTCGTATAACTAGAGAGAGTTTTTAATTAATTAGTGATGGGACACGCGGTGTCACTATAGAGTCATGAATTGAACCCGCAGTTTCGATCGATAAGTCTTCGGTCTCCGAACGATATTCTCGTTCATGTATTGTCACAAAATAAAAGAGGCGTTTGCAAAAATAGGCCCGTCTAGACAGACGGTTCTTGTCGTGTTGAAATGGCTTGGGATTTCTATAGCAAAAACTTTAAGTGTTAAAGCGGGAAAGTTTCCATCATATTGCTTAGCGCTTGAAAAAAGTAATGACATCAAGTCTACTGCTAATCATGCAGAAAGTTAATGATGATTTTGAAATTACCAAAAAGCCTTCAGCCATCGTCCCAATTAAGGGCATCACTACAAGCATTATTTGTGGGGATCTGCGATGAAAATGAAAAAGCGTCTTGGCTTGTTTTTGGCACAACTTTCGGGAATAACGATGATGGGGACATTCAATGGTTGGAAAACAAAAGTTTTATTGTTAATAATTGTGCTAATAATTGTGTGAGAGTTTGGCGTGAGGGTATTGTTTGTTTTTTCATTAACTTGTAGTCATTGTAGCAATACTAAAACGCTACCATGTTAAATGGCCCGCGCACTTGAAAATAAATTAAATGTGGCCTTCGGTCAAAAGAGTTGGACGACCCTGATGTAGACCCTCGATGCCAGCAGCAGGCCAGACAGTTACGGGGAAAAAAGTTCAATGGCTCAAGAGACCTGACGCAAGCAGAAAATGTATCGATACCAGCAGTCGGTCAAAAAAAAAAAGCTGTAGTGAAATAAGGAGAGTGGAAATCAGCGAGCAGAAGGGAAGAGGTTAGGAAGGAGTAAAGTGGAATGCAAAATAAGTAGAAATCAGCGACCCCGTACCTTGGTAGTTTACGTAGAAATAATTAAAATGTTGGAGTGAACAGAACGAGAAAAAAGTAAGCAATCACACACTGTCCGTAGAAATAAACTCGCAGCAGTTCAAGTAAAATAATAAAAACATATTTAAAGATGCTTGAGAGAAATACAAAAAGCTTATAAAATGATGTTAAAGATGCTTGAGTTAAAATACAAATCCATGATACAGCCCGCAAGCAGTTCAAAAATGTTCAAGTAAAAATAATAAAAAGATGAAGATACAAAAGCAGCGACCCCAAATTAGGATTATATAGAAGCAGCGGCTGTACCCACCACAACCAGCCAGCCAGTCATAAATAAAAATGTACTCTATTAGATATACATAAAGAATATAGCCATGGATATCAAGCCAGTAATCACACAAAGTTACTGCTAGTTCCATGCGACATTACATTAAAATAGTTCATTTGCTGCGAAATCTGTGTCAATATATATGTTGTTCTGAAATCATTTATTTTGTTGTTTCAAATTATTTACATATAACATTCCTCTATTCCATTCAGACTTTTGATTTCGAGGGATAAAAAACTTCAACAGAATTGAATTCTGTGCTTGAAGATGTAGCACGCATCTTAGTTCCATAATTAACTTACAAATAACTCGCCCACAATTGCTTTTTTCAAGCGTGTTACAGCTTTTTAACTGATCGTGGTCCGAAGGGCGCGTGCAGAGGTCGTTGCAGCATTCGATTGTGGTACCGATACTCAAATCAGGGAAGAAGAATAACACTCCGTCATGGTGGCTAACAGATTGAAATGGTAATTTGCGAGGTTTAATATAAGTCACCAAACACAATCTGGTTTCAGGTCGAATAGATCAGCATTGGACAATATTATCAGTCAGCACGAGGATCTTTCAAGCAAGCGACACGTTATTGCAGTGTTTATTGATATTGAAAAAGCTTACGATATGTTTTGGCGTGAAGGACTAATTTATAAACTTCATAATCTTGAAATAAAGGGTCGAATCTTATCTTAAATAAAGTCATTTTCATCAAACCAGTCTCTACAAGTATGGGTTGGATCTAATTATTCTAAAAATATTCCTTGACATCCAGAACATTTGATTATGATTGCGCCATTTGCTGATGATTGGTTTAAAAATCAACGAACTTGTATCGGATATGCAAATGTCATTAATAAATCAAACTAGATAGCGATTGTCGAATTTTCGATCTTCCGCATGTAACCGCTACACATCGCAGACAGGGCATTGTTACGCACCCAATAGTTCGCACCGACAAAAGTTACTTGATCCCCCCAAAACAGAAACTGCAGTTTTGATTTCCTCGCTCTTACTTAATAGCGACGCCGCGTGTCCCATTACTAATGAATTAATAACTCGCTAATTATACGGCATAATTCATCCCAAATCAATAGGGTCCTGTTCCGAGATATGATGAATGCAGATGCAATTTGGAGCAGATTCAACCTCGCTTTCGTGAGATATCGCGTAACATACGAAAGTGTCTAACAGACATACAGACAAATACTTATCAACATACTTTCCGATCAAGATAGTAATCAGTTCATTGTGTCATGCATCGGGATCTAACATATCGGTGACAAAATCGCGTGCTGTATTGTTTAAAAGATCACGTGCGCCTCCACCATTACATCCATACATTGGTGGACAGGACTTGTCAGTTAAATCCCAATATATATACCTTGGCGTTATATTCGACAACAAGAGAGCTATGCTCAAATATATGGACACGTAGAGTCATATAATTTTGATGACGTCATAGCGAAAAAAAAAGTAATAGCCTTCTGGAGAAAATTTTTATCTTTAACCACTAAAAATTTCAAAGCAATTGGTCCAGTATTCGAAGAGAAAAGCGACTTTTTAAAAACGTGTCAAGCGGTACTGAGTTAGCAGTCAGGCAGCATCTTACCTGTACACTGTAGGCCATATACGGTAATTGATCACAGAACAGTTGTTCCCTTGCAAATTTTATGTTGTTTACACTTTAGTACAGATAATTGATCACAGAACAATTCTTCCCTTTCAAATTTTATGTTGTTTCCAGTAGACTCTCATCAAAATAAACAAATATAGTAGGCTACAAGTGCTACAACGCTTGCATTACTGCACTGGTAGGACCGTGAAAGAATAAGTTACGGTAATTTCATTGTGGTAAGACACCGGTACCGGCACCAGTACCAGTATCGTACTTACGTACTGAGCTACCAGTACCGGTTAGCAGTCAGCCAGCATCTTACCTGTACACTGTAGGACATATACGGTAATTGATCACAGAACAGTTGTTCCCTTGCAAATTTTATGTTGTTTACACTTTAGGACAGATAATTGATCACAGAACAATTCTTCCCTTTCAAATTTTATGTTGTTTCCAGTAGACTCTCATCAAAATAAACAAATATAGTAGGCTACAAGTGCTACAACGCTTGCATTACTGCACTGGTAGGACCGTGAAAGAATAAGTTACGGTAATTTCATTGTGGTAAGACACCGGCACCAGTACCAGTATCGTACTTACGTACTGAGCTACCAGTACCGAACCTGTAGGTCTGATATTCCGTTCCGCATACGATAGGCTATAAAACTTGCATTGCAGCATTAGTAATACCGCGGAAGGAATAAGTCAATTTCACTGCGTTACGGTACCGGTATGGCAACTTACCAGTACCGACCTACAGTAGCTGTAGTACTGAGCAAGACAATCGATCGCGAAACCGCTTGAAATAAGTGTAAAACAGTGTTCCCATGAGTAAAAATAAATACCCCGAAATTTTGTATGAAATATCATATCTCATAGGATTCATATAAAATTTAAGAATAAACAAAAGTAATAGCCTTCTAGCGAAAAAATTAATCTTTAATCACTGAAAATTTCAAAGCAATTGGTCCAGTATTCGAAGAGAAAAGCGACTTTTTAAAAACGTGTCAAAGAACAAGAACAAGAACAAGAACAACAACAACATAATATTGAAACGATCGTTATGTCCACTACGTGTCCAATAAGTAGGCGTACAAAGCTCATGCAGAACATGTAACACACAAATATGATAAAAGTTCAAATCTATTGAGATTTTTGACGGGCACAACAACATGTTGAGCTTTCAAAAAATATTGCTTAAATTTTACCGGGTCCTAATACGTTCATAATTGAATATGGGTTGGAGGCCTATTATTTTGCGCCAAAGTATGTAATTAGAAAAATA